ACGGAAAATGAATTACTCTTACTAGCTGTTGCAAAATTTCATGTGCCATGGCTAATTGTTTGTGCAAAAAGATTTTGATTTGCACAATAGTGACTCATCTTTTGTTCACACAGAGTCCGTGTTGGCCGAGTACCTCTTGAACTGCCCCCCCTGCGTTGGCAAAATAAGCGCACTTGAAAAAACACTAAGATGCTATGCAGAAAAGAAGAGGGAAACTGTTGTAATCCCTACTGTCGGAGACAACTTTGATTCCCTTGCATAAGCATACAACTACTACAATCTATATTCTTGGGAAATTAGGTTCGGAGTTAGATACGGAAAAAAGCAGATTAAATGTCGAGAGAACAAAATGTATGCAAGAAATAGTTTGCGGCTACTCAGTTAGTAATTCTTTCCAATTCCAGCCATGAACATACTCTGCCAATGTTCTTATATACAGAAAAATAGAATTCTCTGTTAACTCATGTATTGTTGGTTGCGACAAAAAAACAAATTGCAGGGTGTACCAAAAAGAAGTAACACACGGTCTTGCTGATGTAGATGCCCATCAATGATAAGGTTGCTACGCTCAAAGGACAACGGGTGGTACATCAACGAGCACAGGACACTCCACAATCACTCTCTGACAGATAAGTGTGGACAGAAAATATGCTGCCACTCGCATAGACATATCGACATTTACACACGAGATGTTATCAAGCAGTTGCATGAAAATAATATTAGCATTGGCAAAGTGTACAACATAATTGGCAGTTTCTTTGGCTCCATGAGCAGTGTGCCTTTCAACAAGAGAGCTTTGAGGGGGCTTTGTGGAGAGATTAGCCGAGATCAGGCAGACGATGACATCAGAAAGTTTTTGCTGAGTTGGGATCCAAAGATTCTGGGTTGTATACAGAGTACAACGGGATGCGGACAGCCGCATACGAAATCTGCTATGGTCGACAGGCGCAAGCAGGGCACAATACCACTACCTTGGAGATGCAATAACTTTTGATACAACATACCGTACAAACATGTATGATACGCCATTCGGTCTGTTCGTCAGAGTCAACAATCATTTCCATAGAGTCATATTTGGAGGAGTTTTAGTGAGGGATGAGACAGTGGAAACATTTGAATGGGTGTTCACTGAGTTTGTCCGCATGATGGGTGGCAAGCATCCACAAACCTTGCTAACAAGTGTGCCTGAGTACAAATTTATATTTTGAAATTCTTCATTTGGTTTTCTAGCTTGCATTCTCACAATACATCGCTCGGTAGTATAATTTACTAGTGAACCACATCCATGAAAGTATAGTATCTTTGTTTTCTTTCTTCTTGATTCTCATTGGTTCTGTGCGCAGCAAGAAACACAAGGTTATTGTCGCTTGAGCACAGCTAACAATATAAAAACACTTGTGAAATGTTGTTGTGTAGGTCCTTGATGTCCTTGGAATGGATCAGATACCAGCAAGCACATTCTCAAACGTTGGACAAAGGATGCAAGGGATGTGTTGCCAGAACATCTGGCACACCTTCAGAAAGATAAGATTAGTCTCAACTCAATAACATTCAGACCCTCGAATCTATACACTCATGCCCTTGAAGTTGTCCGGCTTGGTGATGCCAACACATCGACATATGAATGTGCAATGGATATACTGAAGAAAGCAATGGATACACTGACGTCCATGGCCAGCGTGCGTGACGGGATGGGGCTTGAAGACAGAATGCATTCAGATAAGGGGAAAGAAAAAGAGCCGATTCCAGCACATCCAGCAGAAAGTCACAGAGAGAGTGATGCCGAAGGTAGTGCAGTTGGGAATTTCATCAGCTTAAAGCCTCCAGAACGAAAGCGTAAACCAGGCCGACCAACTACCTGCTGGGACAAGCCTCCGTATGATGATCGAGGCGCAAAGAGCAAAAAATGCAAGCAAGCGCCATATGGAAAAGCTCCTGATGGTTGTGGGACAAGCAAACGTACTCGTTTCTGCAGTATATGCCATGGGGCAGGTCACATGAGTACTACACATGTCCACACAGGGGTGATCTTCCTGGCAAAAAAAGGAAGGAGGCAAAATGCTCAAACTGCGGTGTTGGCGGACACAAGAAGAACACCTGCAACAAACCCAAAGTGGTGTTGCATGCTGTTGAAAATGCAACTTTGGATCAGCTTTCCATTTAGAAATCCTGTAGTCTGTTGTGTTGTGGATGGTTCCGTAGGCGTAAGGGCTCTGCAGTGTCTTGTAATGTTGAGGGCTCCGTGTCCATTAATCAGTAAAACTATTCCAATAATAAAAGACTGCCATTTATCAAGGTGAGCTGCTATCTGTATGTTTGTTTTTCTGAATGTATCATGACCATTCCCGTGCGTTATGTACTTGCCATGGTATGTCAGCTTTGTCAAATATGGTGTTCGTCTGTATTTCATCAAAAATGAAGGTGGAGCGAGAATTTGCATTCAGTGCTCTAAGTATGGCGATCTTGTCATATCACCTTCCTTTCCTAATGCTTGCTTGATCACCGGTGCGGTCCGGGGACTTTGCATTAAGTGCTCTAAGTATGGCGATCTTGTCCTGGTACAGTACCTCGACGCCGTCCCTTTGTCCTGTACGTCCGTCCACCCTCACCTGACGAGCGTCACCACTCCGTGCCACCCGTACGCATTAACTATCACTCGTATACGCCTTGACTACGGCAACCATTCCAGATCCCATCGCGAAACAACGCTCGAAGATACCGTGAGCAAACGCGGACGAGCACGCCAGCGAATTTCCGAACAGGCCTGCCAGTTTTTCTTTTCTTTTGAGGTTCGTCACTGCGGGCTGCGGCAGTTCACATTGGTAGGCCCAGGTGGGCGGTGGTTTGTTACCTACCAAGCGGCCCAGCCCACGATAAGAGGGCCAGACTTTCGCAACGATCAATGTCTCTCTCTCTCTCGCTTCTGCAAAAAAATGTCCCTCTCTCGCTCACGTCAGTGAGAACAGCTTCCAATTTGTTTTCTCTTGCCGGGTTGATTCTTCAGCTGAGGATAATGACTCCAAACAGGACGCAACGTCATATGTTTGATCCGTCGATCGCAAGCTTGGCCGGATGTGGCATTTTTCTACGATTGCTAGCTGTTATGCCTTCGCGCACTTTTCATCGTTTGTCCCTCTCTCTATCTCTTAGCATCCAAGTAAAATCAATAGTACCGTTACAAGTTTTTTTTTGGCCAAGACATCATAATCCAGGGACGCTGACACAGAATCATTCAACAGCTAATCCCAATGCATAGTGCTGTATAAGTACTTAACCGAAATTAATGCCGTGGAACGTGGATCAATAGGCATGTGATGGAGAGTTAATTCGTGCAAGCTCCCCCTTTAACAAAACACGGGTGGGAGAATCTCTGCTGCGATGACGCTGTGATGCAGAGCAGTTCATCATAGATATAATACCTGTGGGTGTGCTTCCTAACTCGTAGGATAAGATAGTTAAGCGTCCTTTGGAGTGCTAGGCAAGAGCACCACGAATCTACCTATTCACCATCCATCGGTTCCCAACTCCTGGAGCACCGGCTCGAATACAACGCCAAGGATTCGCACGTACTCCCTCGTGTATTATGAGACAGAGGGAGTAGTACTCATTCGCAGAAGCTAGCTGGCTCGATCTTTTCATGCCAGGCCCAACCCAACCCAATAATTTGTTTGTCTGGTTGTAGGTAGATTCCCCTCCCAAAAATATCACGACCGGGCAGGGGGCTGACCGCGACAGGGCACGAATACGGTTCAGAGATAGAGCCCGAATTCAAGACATCGCACTCAAAGCCGGCGTACGCGACCCGGCCCGGCACGCAAATTTCCCGCGGAATGGTGCAGCCGTCCGTCCGCGCCGTGGCATTTGCTCCGCCGGCCCGCGCCACGCACCAAATTACCAAGCCGGCCGTGGCCGGCAAGGATGGTGGCTCGGCAGGGCACGCGGATCCGCGTGGCGAGGCCGGCATGTGGCGGCCTCGTGCGCTTCCCCCCAACCACCACCATCCCGCGCCACTTGCCCAGTTCGCCGCCACTTGCCGCTAGCCTCTGCGCCGGGCGAGGAGTATGTGTATATCTGCGCTACGCGTCACGGGTGACGAGAAAAACGCCTGAAAATGCAACCTTTCGCTGCTTTTCGCTGGAATCGGATGTGTATCGTGACCGGAACTGCTCCCGGAGCGGCGCGGGCAGCACAGCACAAGCACGGGCACGGCCTTGGATATGGCGATCGCGACGGAACCGAGACAGTAAAATAAGCGGAAAGCCACTCTTGAACAGCGAAATCCCTTTGATCTGATCCACGCTATGTACTACACCTCCAAATTACTCCGGGTAAAACTACAGCCGGAGGAAAAAAAAGAAAGGGGGAAAACGGGATCGGAACGGGAGGCGCGGTGGTCAGGAGCAGGGCGCGGTGGCCGCCAGGGCCAGCTCGCGCCGGCGGCCGAACACGATGGCGCACTCCGGGAGCTCGCCGAGCCCAGCGAACAGCGCGTCCTCCCCCTGCAGCTCGCGCTCCCAGTCCTCCGGCGGCGGCGCCACGTCGAACGCCGGCACGTATAGCGCCGTCCGGTGCCACGTCGGGTACTGGTCGAACCACCCGAAGTCGAAGCTCTCCTCCTCCTCTTCGGCCGCCGCGGTCACCGTCGTGATCGCCGCGGGGTCGGCCAGACCGATGACAGGCTTCTGCTCATGCTCCTCTTCCTGATCTTGCTCCGGCGCTTCAGGCCCGTGCTCCGGCGCTTCAGGTCCGTGCTCGGGCTGGCACTCCACCGGCGTGCCAGGCTCGGGCTTGGGGTCCACCAGCCGCGGAGAGGACTTGTTGGGTTGGCAGCCGCTCTTGGGCGCCGGCCACGGGTGGTTGTGATCGTAGGAGTAGGTGACGAGCAGCACGGTGGGGTCGGCGCGGCTGCGCTCCACCTGCTTCCTCGCCGGGCACCCCTTGGAGCTGCTGCAGCGGTAGTACCCCCTGAACACGCGACAGTAATTCACACAAATCAGACGAGCCTACTTACTTGGTAACTGATGATTTAATTGCCGCAAATTACCAGCCTGTCCTGCAAAGCTGTATCTACGCGTAGTACTTACCGTGGGTAGGGGGATCCCTTGATGGGCTTCTGGCCGTACTTGCGCCACGCCCACGAGTCCGGCGGCGGCGGGCCCTCGCCGTTGGTCTTGGCCCGCTCGCCGCACTCGGAAATCGGCACCGACACCACCCTCTTCTCCACAGATCTCCGGCTGCAAGCAATCGCCAAACAAACATACTCATTCAATCCTCCGCCGCCTAATCAAGATTCGAGATTCGACTGGTTCCATGGATGGATGGAGATGTGTATGTATGTACCTGCGCTTGGGCGGCGGCAGCGGCGACGACGGCGAGGGGTGGTCGCGCTTGCTCTGGCCTCCGCCGGGCGACTCGGCGTCGGCGGGCGGCTGCTCGTCGACGGAGTCGGCCCGCGGCGAGTCCGTGCCCGTGCTGCAGTCCGACATCGGCGGCGCCTAGCCTAGGTATCCACGCCCGGCCCCGGCGAATCGGACACGGACGGAGCTATCTGGGTTGGGCTAACAGAAGTCCCGGCCCGGCGGCTGGCTGCTCCGGATAAAAAGCTCAAAGCGAAACCAACCCCGGCTTTCCGAAAGCGTATATATCTGTGGGCTTTGATGATGATCACCGGCTGCCACAACGAAGTGTACTGTCAGGAAGGAAGAGGGGTGGAGGCGAGTAGTAGTAGTACAGGACCGGGTCGAGTGATGGATGGGGGGATGGTGGAAACGGTGGCGAGCAAATGGGGACGGATGGGTGCAGCTTTCAATGATCCGCCCCCCTGCTACGTGCGCGTTTGTTGTATATGTGCGTGCGTATGCGCTGGTGGACGGACGCTTTTGTTTATGCGCACGATGTTGCCATCCACCGGGTGCGCGTACTACTACTGTATGGAATGGATGTGTTGTGTGTGCGCGCAGCGTTTTCGCCTGTTTTGTTTAGCGTTTCGTGCAGTCCCGCGTCCGGGTTCTGGATTGGATCGCTCTCCTCTCCCTCCCTCGCTGTTGCGTATAGGAGGAGGGCCGGAGCGAGGAGGGCGACGTCTTGGGGCAGGGCGGACGATTAGATTAGGCGGAGGCTGCGATGGCGACCCCCTCGCTAACCGATCTGGCCAATCATGTCCGCGCCCTTGCCTCCCGCCATGTACACACATGGCACATCTTTTGTTTTGTGCATGTGCGGAGCCGGAGCGAGAGATGATGAGATGTGCCTGCCTGATCCAGCGAGCCGCCCGTGATCATGTATGTAGCAGGTGTCGGGTTCGCTAAATTCGGTACCGATCCAACTGGAGCATCAGATTCTAGTTCGACGGCCAGGATACGTCGATGCTCACCACCACTCTGTACATGTCTCTCAGTTTTTGACCCGTAGCGCAAGCAGAGGGTTCTGAGTACTGCTTGCTACATCGACCATACTTCATGCGCCGTGCAGATGCTCTAGTGAACGCACTGTTTTCGTGTCGAATCATTACGAACCCTGTAGAACTGGCTACTTTTGCAAGTACTAGTACGTCTGCAAGCGTACGCGCGGAAACCGATTACTGTCGTACGTATGCAGGTACGTAGTTGGTCGAAGGTGAATGGCGAGATCTATCCATGATCCATCAGATCAAATGGTGCCAAGGTTCATCCATCAATTAATGATCCATGTGACTCACTGGGAAACTGCACCGCGGCTACTTGTTAATTCCATCTTACACTGTCAGTACTCCACGGTATCTTTACACGGACTCTGTCTGACAGAAAAAAGCTTGTTAATTTTGGCGTGGGTATTGTAATGCTGCTTTGGCAGTATATATAGCTAACTAATGCAGTACAGTACAGTACAGCTTACCAAAAGAAAAATCAGAGTACAACACAGGATTGATGCAAGATAATACTACTGGGAAGTGGTCCCGGTGTTCGCTGGAGCTTGGCTTCCCATGCCAGCGAAATGCGTTCCCACGTGCACTTTTTTCTCTCGGCGCCACTAATATGTGATTTTGACGTGCTCCAACTCAAGTGTGTTCCCTCTCGTCCATATGATGGCATCTAGAAGCCTTATTTTGCCGGTCTCTTCTCATTTTCAGGCTTCCCGGTCCTGACCCCGACCATATAATACTCTTTTCGTGCCTTTAACCGAAGTGTGCCCTTTTATTGTTTCATCCACGATAGTTCTTTTTCTTGATTCCTACTCCTAATTTGCTCGATGAAGCCTTTTCTTTTTCAGGTGAAAAAATCACTCCCTGCCATCCAAAAAAGCAGCCATGACACTTTTTTTTATCAGAGAGAGTATTACACTTCCGATTAAGCAAACACATTTTTTAAAATAGTAAGAATAAAATAAAATAAGTGGAGCTTTTTTGCGACAAGCATAGTCTAATACTCATGTTTTTAGTTTTGGGACAAAATGAGCTATATCATATTCTGAGCGAAAAAATAAAAGTGCAGCTACAAAAACCGCGAACAGTAGTGTTTGTATAGTGTTGATTATGTTGTATTTTGCTCAAAATACGTTGTAAATCATTTTTCCCAAAACTTGTAACGTGAGTATTATCTAGATCATCTTTCTTGCCACAAAGCTTCAAAACTATTTGATTATTTTTCTTAAAAGAATATCAATTCAGGTGTGGATAGACCTGAGTTCCACAGTGTATTTTTGGTAATAATGCCCTTCAATTTGCCAGCTTTTGTTCTAATGCACTTGGAGGACCTTAACCAATCCACGTGATGGTTCTACCCTCTAATTTAGCAAAGTTGCTAAACAATCACTAACATTATTTTGAGTTCGCCTTACATGAGTAGTACAAGTTTCACAAAGAGAGGGACGATGTTTAGTTTCCTGGACGAGAGAGGAGTATACTGATCTATCCAGTTCCCGTGCATGGATCAACTACACTGCAATGAGCGAGTCCATCTCAACTGCAATAGGAGAATCACACCTCTGTAATGCTAAGTACAATTCCTCCATAGCCGCACACAACTCTGCCTCAAGAGTATCCCGGCACGAGAAAAGTTGTGTGGGAAGAAGAAGAAACACCCTTGAAATCTGAATCGTGTCGGCTCCAACAAGTCAATGAGCGGAGTAAGACCCATCAACATTCATTTTCATCCATCCCTCGCTTGGTCCATCCATCTGGCTTGGTTATCAGAGATTCTATCATGAGATATTGGCCTCGTTATTTAATGTGTGGGCTTAGATAAGTGGTCATGATATACCATGGACTTCCCCATTGTAGGATCGGACTTCGAGTTTAACTTCACAACGATCAACGAATCAAGGTAGCTACATAGAAATCTTTGTGAAACGTCAAGTGGGGGCGGCTCCTTATGGTGAACTACCTCATTCTCTATATGCGAGCAACACCACTGATTCATAAGTAACATGCAACAATCATTCTCGGTCACCGGGGTCCAAGGCATGCAACAACCACTCGACGTGGCCTTTAAAAAAACACTCGACGTTAATGTTCTCCGCCTTAGCAAGGACCGACGGCCTCCAGATCTCTGCCATTTTTTACGACAAGGATACAACCAAAGGGCATCGACACAAGGCATGAAAGCAATCCTCTGGTTCACGGCATGCTGGGCATATGCTTGAAACCTCAAGACCATCCTTATTCTTATTCTACCAAGTAGCCAGAGAATTGTTGGTTGCTCGCCAAGCAAAATTGCGGACAGTGGGGGCACGTTTATAGACCAAATCATTTTCTAGTAAGACCGGCAACCATTTGGGACATAACTTGAGGCGACTTCTTGATCCCGTTTAGCTTCCTCAAATGCCATAAGATAAGTGGACTGCATCGATAATACTCCTAGTTCACTCGGTCCACATGAGAAAGTATCATCCATCAATCTCGGTGAAGCTCTGATCTTCGGTATTTTGTTTGCATGGGAGGAAATATGTGTTCCAAGTTCCATGACCATTTATCGCTTAGCAGCTCCGACACAAAACAAACTCTACATCACCTTAGGTTGTGATAGGTTTGTAGGAGTGGGGGTCTAGGAATACAACTATCACGCCAAACCTGAATACTCCCGCCATTCCCGACTCTTCATATAAGCCTTTTCCAATAGATCAACAGCATGACCAGTGGCATGCCACGAAGAAGACGCACTACCCAGCAATACAGTGTCCTCGAAATTGTCATTTGGATAATAATGAGTCTTCAACAGTTGAGCACATAAACTGTCTAACTTAGTAATGAGGCACCATGCCTGCCGAGCAAGTAAATCTTGATTGAAAAAGTCCCGAAATCCAACTCCTCCTTAATCTTCCGGACGCATCAATTTATCCCAAGATTTCCAATGCACTTTTGTAGGAACCCAATAGAAGATCATGACCATGGTTTTGAGATCATCACAAATTAAAAAAATGAAGTTTAAAACAACGATAATATATGTTGGCAAGGTTTGTGCAATAGACTTACTGTGAACCTCCCTCCCTGGTTGTGCCAAGTGACCATCTACCCACTTAAGTAGCATCTTTGTTAGACCGACCCGAAGATTCTAGAACTTCCCTTTGGACATGCAAACATTTGGAGTTGGCAAACCAAGATAGTTCTTCTCAAAACCAGCACCACTACATTTAGGAAAACTTTAACATGCTCTTTCATTATCAAAGGGCAAGCATCACCAAACAAGATCCATAATTTGTCATAATTTAGACTTTGTCCCATTGCCCAAACTATAAAGATCCAAGGAAGCCTTAACGTGTGACACTTGATCATGTGAAGGTTCAAAGAAGAGTGATGCGTCATCCGCAAATAAAATATGTGATATAAGGCAATGTGATACCTTGAGTCGGCCGTAACTTCATAACAACAGTTGTCCCATTGACACTAGAAGAAGTATGCGTGATAACCATCAAACCCTGGTGCTTTTGTTGGGAGCATATGGAAGAGGGGAAATTTCACCTCCTCGCCGCTCTAAGGCTCCAAGAGTTCAGATTTCATAGCATTTGTGGCTTTGTTGATTGGAACAATGTAGAGGTCCTCAACCATGTCAGAAGTGGGATCCAACTCGAACAAGATCTTGTAAAAGCACATAGCTGGGGCCTCCATCTACAAAGTATATCAATGGTCGTGCCATCACCTCATGTGAGGATTTTGATCATGTTTTTCTTTCTATGCATGTTGGCCCATTGCTGGATTTTGTGTGTGTGTGGGGGGGGGGTGCATGTGCGTGTATGTGTGTTTGTCTGCTTCCATAAGCCACTCGATTTGCGACTTTTGGCACCATAATTTCCTCAATGTGGTATAGCTCAACTAGTCAATCATTCACGTTTTGCTTGTGCATGTGACAACACAAAACTCGAGGAGCTATTTTGCAAGTTTTCCAAATCCTTTAGCCTCCTTCCTTTCGAGCATTCCCTATATTCTGTCTGCACCACAACACGAGTGATCCTGAGAGTTGAACTAGTACCTACCCAAATCTGCCACGGAGTGTGCCTCTTGGAGTTGTTCAAG